ATATTATATTATATTATAGTGACATCTGGCTGGAGATGTCAAACAGTGAGAGTGCACTTGCCTAGCATACATAAGAGTCTAGGTTCCATCCCTAGCAACACACACATACAATATGTGTACTCATACACACACACACACACAATTCTCACTGTATTTCAAGTATTTAGTAAAACAGCAAATGTAATCAGAACATGGTTTATTTAACAAGGCAACAATACAACCACATCACATGGCCAACAAAAGTGTAGTTCATACCTCTCCAGATTGTCTTGCTAGAGTTACTGCATAATCCATGCACTCCTGCCAAGGATCAGCCATCTTCTGAATATATTTAGCACAAGGTAGTTAGAAACTATGAAAGCATTAGTTCACAAAAGTATCAGACTTTTATTTTGGGATTCACACCTTCCCTACTTTAGAGAGTTCAATATTCGCCTCCCCGCAAGATTTACTTTTAGAGCCAGTAAAAAAAAAAAAAAAAATCATTCTGTATAAAATACTTCACTTCTATAGTAGAAACTTTTTGTTACTGTTGTTGATTAAAGTCAATGTCTCAGGTAGTACAGGCTGGCCTTGAGCTCCCAATATAGCTGAGGATGACCTTGAACTCCTGATCTTCCAGTCCATACTTCCCAAGTGCTTGGATTATAGGTGTGCGCCACCACACCCAACTTAGTAGAAACATTAGCAAAGCAAAAAATATTCTATAAAGCTGTCTCCCAAAGCATGCACACCATAGCACATGGGGGCGGGGAGCCCAATCCAGCTTAGGTAATAGAGAAGTACAAGAAATAGTCTAAAGACAGGTGCATGAGTGGTGCAGAGTCAGTGACAGTAAAGGGAAAGAGCACGGAAGGCTGAAATAAAAGCAGCTCTGAAGGAGCAAAGGGGAGTGTTAACTGAATGCCACGCAGTTAAGTGCTGCACATGTGATTTTTCAAAATAAGGTTGTGAAGGTGAAGAACTTAAGGCTCACCAATTAGAAATAATTTGCCCAATGTTATATGGGAAGATTTTACAGAATTTACACTCAACTCTGAAGTCTACTCCTCTTTCTATTATGGCATTCTGAGGAAAGAAAATTCCAGGTCTAAAAATATAATTAAAAAAGCAAACGTGTTAATTTGCTTCCTGAGCTTCAGAGAGGGAAAAATACAGCAGTGCTTTGTGTTCTGACTTGCCAGCTTTCCACGAGCTTCTAAAGATTCACCACAGGCTTCACCATATTCCAACATCTATACTCAGCACAGCAAAGCATTTGAAGCTGTCACACTCCAAAAAGGTGCTGTTCTTTATAAAGCAACCTAAATTCTGTCTGCTATCAATTGAGAAGAAGTGACACACAGCATCCTCTTTGAGACCACTCAGAGCCCCATCTTGTTGCAGAAGGAACAGGAGCACAGAGGAAGGCAAAGCACAGACAGGAAGTTCTGCTGGCTGCTGCTGCTTTTTACTTTTTATTTGAGATAGGGTTGGCTTCAAATCCTTGATCCCCCTGCCTTAGTCTGCAGAATGCTGGGTGAGATTACAGGCATCTGTCATCGAGTCTGGTGCTTTTTCCTTGTGACATGAGTATTCAAGCAACTGTTTAAAGGGAGTTACAGAAGCTGAGTTTTTAACTTCTTGAGTTAAAGAAGAAGCTTCTTAGAGCTCTTCAAGAATGGCTTCTAGACATTTCCTTTCCTGCTCCCGTTCTACTCTTCCTATTTCATCACAAATGGAAATTCTCAAGCTATGCTGGCTTTCTAATTAGGAATTCTGCTCAAGCCACTCAACTCCACCTCCTGACAGTATTCCCAGAGCGCCTACCCATTCCTCAAGGGCCATTTCAAAAGCTATCTATTCTCTTACAGGAATCCTCCAGCGAGAAGTTGTCAAATCAATCAACAGATCCTTGCCAAATAACTACTATCTGCTACACAAAACACTAGGGTGAGGAAAACCAAGACTTATCCACATTCTTCCCATGGGAGTGAGAAGTTAATTTAAACATCAGAGACTTCAAAAAAGTCATAAATGTAATGAAGGCGGGGGGGGGGGGGGGG